GGGGGGTGGCGGCGGCCAACAATTGTACAGGTCACATGAAGAAGTGACTGGTGAATATGAAGGTGAGCTCAATATATCTGATCTGACTTCAAAGGGTTATATTTTAGAGATGCAGATTTACAGGGAATTGAGAGTAGTCATTTCAACACAGGAGAGGACTTGCTACAAGTATGGGGGACAAAAAAGTAAGTCAGCTTTAAAAATAATCTATATCTGCAGGTTCTGATAGAACTATAGAAACAATCGGTACATTGAGTGATTTGATTGATATGGAAAGGGCAGCTTCAGGATGATACCAAACTCTGGGGGAGGGAGGAGAGCATAGACCATTCATAAATGGAAAATTGTTTGTAAGCATTCGCATTACCAGCACTGAACTGATCTGCAAACAGAAAGACATTGCTAGAGGCTAATACCAAGCCACATTTTTACATTAGTTTTATTTAAAAACTCAGGGAATTAGTTTTTAGTGAATGTATAGATAATGGAGCATGTATATAAGCAGCATATAAGTGAACCTGTTGCATTGCCTCGCATGGGCAGACCAGAAATACACCTAAAAGGGAAATGATATCAGCGTGCTGTAAATATATGATTTTAATGCATGTTTTAAAATATATTATATATATTTTAAAACATGCATTAAAATATGTAATACTGTGATTTGTGGAGTTAAAGATAAAAATTGACAAAACCAAATATCTATATCTATATCCACACACACCACTAACATTAACACACCACTAACATTAACACACACACACACACACACACTGCACTAACATTAACACACAGTAGTTTTTGTTTTCCTAAGTCTCCCATGTAATATAATTTGGTTAGCTGTTGACCCCAACAACAGTTATCCGGTGTGTTGCATAGCTTGTAACCTGCTGGGCATGGTAGTTCCTCCTCCTGACCCCTACATCAGTGCTGTAAATGGGGGCAGTGAAATAAATTGGAGACCCATGAGTGTGTTGGGGGTGGGATACTGGGAGAGATGCTGGGGGTGGGACACTGGGGATAAACCAATGTATGCTGAGGGTGGGACACTGGGGATAAACCTATGTATGCTGGGGGTGGGACACTGGAGCGACAATGTGTGTGCTGGGGGTAAGATACAGGGGGGAGTCCATTGTGTTTGCTCAGGTAGGATACAGGGTAGAGGCCAATGCGTGTGCTTGGTTTGGGATTCTAGAGAGAAACAATGTGTGGGATTTTGAAAAGAGATTACTTTGTGTCCTGGGCTACGGGATTCTTGGGAGAGACCACTGTGTGTGCTGGGGGGGTGATATACTGCAGGGAGATTAGTGTTTGGGCACAGCCCCGCCCCATCCAGGTGCAATGTATCTTGGGAGATGTAGTCTGTGTACCATAATGGACATGCCTTGCTGGAAACTTAAGCCCAGAATTTTGGGTAAATCTCTCCCGTGGATAGCACAGTGAGGGGAGAATCAGTATGCAGGAAAAAATGGTAAGTAAATAAATCATTTGCTTTTAATGGTTTTCTGATTAAAAACCGAGAGATGTTTCTTCTTATATAATGCATTTATTGTTACATAGTTACATAGTATTTGAGGTTGAATAAAGACATTAGTCCATCAAGTCCAACCTATTAGGATCTCATTCTAGGAGTACCTGTACCCCTGTATATTACCCGTACCCCTGTATATTACCTGTACCCCTGTATATTACGGTCCCTTAAGAAATCGTCCAAAAGTTTCTTGAACAATTCCACATTATTTGCTGAAATCACTGTCTGTGGCAGTGAGTTCCAGACCCTAACTGATCTTACTGTGAAGAACCCCCTTCGCCCCTTGTGCTGGAATTTTTTTTCTACCAATTTTAGGTGATGGCCTCTAGTTTTTGTAATGGAGTTAATTTTAAACAGTTTATCGCTAATGTTGCTGCCACCATTGAACATTTTGTACATGGAGATCATATCCCCCCTCAATCTCCTCACCTCCAATGTGAACATGTTTAAATTTAGTAGCCTTGTCTCGTAGCTCTGGTCCTCCATACCCCTAATTAGTTTGGTTGCCCTCCGCTGGACTTTTTCCAACTCAAGGACATCTTTTCTTAGTACTGGTGACCAGAACTGGACCGCGTACTCCAGATGAGGTCGAACCAATGATCTATAAAGTGGCAAAATTATAGACTTGTCCCTGCAATACATCCCCTTTTTAATACAGGACAAGACCCTGCTAGCTTTGTTTACAGCATGTAATATATTGGATTTAACCATTCCTGACACAAACCAAAACAAGGAAGGTTTTGGCTACAGATTCACTTTAAATCTGCATGCTAAGGTTCTTGCATAAGTCAAACCGTGACACATGGATTGGATAGGTTAGGTAGGTCCTCAGATTACATCGTTTTGGTAAATGTAAAGTTGATTGTACAAAGATTGTGCGGTCAGATTGTAACATGTATACTGCCAGATAGCAATGTGACCATTTCAGTAATCAGAGCGTCCTCTTTGTGTTCCAGGGTAAAGTGGCGCAGACTGCGTGCATGTCGGCCTGCAAACACCTCTCCACGTCTCTGACGCAGTTACTCCTGGAGGCAGAAGTCAAGCAGATCACTATGGGGGCCTTGCAGCAATTCAACCTGGACGTGAAAGAGTGCGAGAGTAAGAGACTTTATATCCGGGGTACCTCTAGATGCGTGTCTACAGCACACCCCAACTGCCTGATCCACTGCAAGGCCCTCCATGCTCTGCCACCTTATGCAAGGGGTGTGCTGGGACTTGTAGTGTTTGAGATTTCTTCACCCTAGCCCAGTTCACTTTTACTATCTGTACATGTTCTAAGATGTGTCTCTGGGTACCTGCACACATCACGGGTCATTTTCACTATCTGGCCCGTTTTTTGTGGGCGTCCCTCGATCAGGCCCGCTGCTGTTGAGGTGAACAGTTAATGAGCAGAAGTCCTGGCCCAATCACTGTTGCTTCCCTCCTTAAAGGAGAACTATGGGGTTAAGGCTTTTCCCCTTAATTCTCCTTAGGGTAACGGGAGGACACAAACTAGCGTCTTCCCGTCACCCTAGGCTCAGTATACTGAGACACCGCTGTATAGAGACCCCGCAGCTGAAGCGGATCCCAACAATTGTGCTGGGATCCGTCCAGCTGCGTGACTGACAGCTGGCTCTGCCTATCTAGAGGCAGAGCCAGCTGTACCCTCCCCCATCCGTTCCGCCAGTCAGCGCTGGCAGATCGGGGAGGGGGGAATCCAGCCCCTCCTGTCACGGCAGAGAGCCGTGACATGATCGAGAGGTGAGCGAACACCGCTATGTGTTCCCTCACCTCCCGATCTACTGAGCCAACCTGTGACAGTCTCATTGTCACAGATCGGCTAGAACTATGAGGTGAGTGAAAAGCACCCGCCTCATACTTCTCCTTTAAGCCTGTTCCTTGTTACGCATCCTTCCAGTTGAATGCCATTAGGATGGTTAGATTGGGTGCCCCCCACCCCTCGGATATGCCTGCCACTCATAAGGGGCCCTGCCAGTTTTATGCTATGAGGGTGATTTTATGGGCTGGAAGGACTGACCGGCCTCCGATGTCTGTGGCCACTTGACAAATACAGATCAATCCACTTTGATAACATTTCCTTTCTCAATGGTTAACACTACAAATGTACATAACACTTCTTATACAAAAAATAAAATCAGTTTCCTAATTTCTAATATCAAGTTTTCAAATTAAACTTCCAACTTAGGCAAATCAGTTCTTAGTTTTGGAGGCAGCGGAAGGGTTAGAACCTGTGCCAGGTTCATATTTGTGGTTCCTGTCCTATTTAGGGGGAATCTTTCCCCTCGCTTCCTGTTTTATGGACACAGTCTCTTCAAAGTGAGGGGAAATCCCCCTCTTTGTTGTCTGCATAGAAAGATGTCCCCTCTGTTCCTGCTTTAGGGACCACTGTATACATTTTGGATTTCCAATCATTTTTTGTGGCCCGGTATAAGTTGTCACCAGGACAAACAGAGAGGGTGAATCTCTCCAGGGTGGCACAGAAGCAGCAACAGAAACCTGACAAGCCTTTTAGCACTCTTAAGCTTTCTATCCAAAACTAAACAAGAAAATTGGCTTCAGACTCACTTCAGGTTAAAACGGAACAAAACTGAGCTACACGCACCTCACCTACATCAATGTGACATTTTGTCATTTGGGTCACTGCTACAGTGACACAGGAGGGAGCTAGGGGAACCTGCTACAGTGACACAGGAGGGAGCTAGGGCACCCTGCTACAGTGACACAGGATGGAGCTAGGGGAACCTGCTACAGTGACACAGGATGGAGCTAGGGGAACCTGCTACAGTGACACAGGAGGGAGCAAGGGCATCCTGCTACAGTGACACAGGAGGGAGCTAGGGGAACCTGCTA